GGTTTCAAAACGCGTCTAGCATCGTTTAAAGTAGCAACGCTTGAAACGACAAATTTTACTAAATTCGAATCCAATTAGCAAAAACAAACAAAAACCCTACACGGCTGACTAATAAATAATATTTAACCAGACACGTTGTCATATTAATATTTTCACAGATACATAGTGAAATCTATCGTTACTAGAACTCGTTTATTGAAAACTGATTAAGCCAATTCGATGACTTAATCACAATAAACCAGAATCCTTTGCATCTGTAGGTGAACGTCTCGATTGGGAAGATACTGCTCTTGTCGAAGCAAATAAATTAAAAGAACTATTGGAAATTGGTGAAATCAAACCTGAATCAGTGATGGACAGACTTATCTTAAATATCCGAATCTGTGAAAATAATTCTGAAATGACTGCAAATATTATGACTGAAATATGAAAAATATTTCTAAGGAAATCTCTATTGAACGCAATTTTCTCACGCACTTCAAGAATATAACTGCATGCTTGGGAAATGATCGTGTAGACACTGGTAAGTGTCTTGAGATACTGAACAGTTTTAAGGATTTGCAGCTAAGTCAGTTGATGTTGCTACGCAACCCGGATTGTGTTGACATCATACGCCGTCTGTGTAGATATGTTGGAAACCTAGAGCAGTGGAACTTATGCAGCGAAGAGGAAGCACACTTTAAGAGGAATTTTGAAACGCCGCAGTTATATACAATAATTTCAAGAGATTGTTTAATTACAATGGAACACTTTTGGGGTAAATATATTAAACTTGTTTCGCAATTCATGAATATAACGCAGAATTTATCTAACCATCATCGTATTTCATTGACTAAAAGTGCATATGAAAAGCTATTAGCTATAAAAATGCAAAAATGTATTCATTATGACCGGGAGAACATCTAACTGAATGCATTGCAAAATAACAAATAGATTGATTAACTAGAAGATTTGAAAGATGATACCCATGATAATTTACACTTTGAAGCTTACAGTTTAATTTTCAGTTCAACATATCATGTATATCATTAAAGTATCAGAAATAAAGTCAGTGCCAATAACTTCAATGCATTTATTTATTGGATTACCTCAATAAATGTAGAAGTCAGTAACGAAATAAAATTCATGTATATGCTTTATATAAATTTGGGTGATATTAAGAACAGTAATCTATTTCTTGAGGTAAATTTTTTCTTACCGATAATGGCGTGTCTTTTTATGACGAAAGATCTATAGTAATCTATTTCTTTTTTTTTCGCAGTAGGTGGAAACCTTCGAAAGCCATAGCGTGAGACTTGAACCCACTAAAACGACCTAATTATTGTTTATTACAGCCCTTGATGTCATTCTCGT